CCCCAAAACCCCAAAACCCCAAAACCCCAAAACCCCACCTTTCCTTCCAAATATAAAATAAAATAAAATATAGATAAAATAATTATACAAAATGTCTGGTCCACAGAAAGAATCCCTGCCAAAAAAGTTTCTAAATTTTCTCAACGACAGATCGGAATTCAACCGATCTAACTCTCTGAAAATGGAAGGTAAGTTTAGAGCATTTTCAATTACTACAACAATTTTTACTATTGATGGAAGAACTACCAAATTAGAAAACTTGAGCATGTTAAATAAAATGCAACCACTAAGCTGAGATCTTCTTGAGCCCAGCTAAAGTGTAGCCTAGAGGATATTAGAAGCTTAATAAAAGACGATCGTAGGTTATCGCAAAGTTCTGAGACGGAAGTATTTAAATTCTTCTTTAAAGGATATTTATTCAGGTTTGAGAATAGATTTTGAAGAGATTTCTGCTTGAAGATATTTGAATAAATTTGTATCGAAGTTTAAGAATTTATCCGAAGTTATATTTTAATTATTGAAAAGAATATCTTATCTTGTTAATGGATTAATAAATCTAATTTTATATTTTGGTTGAGGTTATCAAGAAAATAATATTGAAGGGAGTTCTAAGAAGTGAATAGTTCAGGATTAAAGATATCAGAGAGCTTATATAACTAACAAACGATTAAAGGGGGACATAATGTCTCTATGAATGATATAATAGTTTAATATTTTGAGAAAATTATTACTGAATACATTACTACAAAGATATCCAAAAAGATATTCATTTATCTGATACTTTTTAAGTCTAATATTTTCAAGTTAATGAAAATCTTTAAAATTTCAATTTTTAATGCAAAACAAAACCTTAAATTTATTTTTAATCAACTCCAAACAAAAATCCTCAGATTCTTAAAACCACCTTCATCCTTATCCTAAATTGACCGTTTGTAGTCTTGCTCTTAATTCTTAATTCCCCTACCTGTTCATACAACTTCAAAAATCCGAAATTTCCCATTTCTACTTTTCCAGTGTTCATTCCTCAAATAATCCTTGATATTATAGACTTAGTCTATGAAGAAGAATTTTCTGGTATTTACTATTATCACTTCGAATGTCCCTCAATTGAGCCAGACCATCTTTCAAAAGACTGTGATGAAGAAGACCCTGGAGGGATTGAATGTGAAATGAATGAAGAAAGTTGAAAAAGGTATAACCGTGAAAGTTATAAATTTAGACCTACCTTTCCTTATTCTCAACCCTCAGAAAAGAAAATAGATTTTCCTAAACACTTTAATTTTCAAGTTGAAGTTCGTGGACTCGGGAAAAATCTAACAAGCTGAGATTTTCAAGAGTCTTGAGAGAAATATTCTGAAGCTTGACATATTTCTCAGTAAGAACCATTTTATACTAGGAGGGATTAAGAGTTTGGAGTATTATGTTCAACAAAATTATTTATCATCATCAGCCTTAGGATACTTTAATTTCATCATAAAATAGTTTAAAGTTTGCTTTCCTTTATTCTAGCTTTATAAAATTATGCTAACCTATCAAAACTGTACATTTAAATACTCTAGACTACCCGATGAACCCACTGTGGCTGAAGACTCTGTTGGGTCACAAGTTTATGAAGATAGCAGTACGGGCTTGACCAGTGAAGGAGAGGGCCTACATGGAGAAGGAACAAAGGAGAATGTGGTAGCAGATTTGGGGAGGAGTGTTGAAGGTAGTGTGCAGAGCAGGGTGAGGGTTTGAGGGAGGATTATGGGAAAGGAGAGGTTAGAGGGGTTAGATACAAGTTTTGGGCTTTTATGAGAGTTTTGAGAGGTTTTAGTAATGGGGTATGGAGAAATTGATAGAATATCAGAATGTTTATACTCCATTGAAAAAATACTTAAATAAAAGCAAATTGTATATTTGAAGCAATCCTTTCATGCAAATATCTTTAAAACCGATCTAGTGATTATAAAATAACTCCAATTACAAAATCATACTTCAATTCTATTAATTTTAATCCTAAATTTTTCAGTTTCAGATTCTCACCTTTAAAATGAAACTTGAATAACCGCTTCATAACTATTGTGTCAGTATCTCTTTTCCAATAATTCCTCCATGTTGCAATTCTAAAATAAGAAATTTAGTCTTTAAAATATCGAAACAACAACAAATCTCTCTTTTCTATCACTCCTATTTCTTCTGTCTTTCCTTCAGATGCAACTTAAATATAATAAAAAGTAGTATCATGCCTTCAACCACAAATTCAGTTCTAAAGTTCTGAATTTTAAGCAGCAAGAAGAGTCTAGTGCAGAATTTTATAGTTCTGTTTAAACATACGTGATAATTGTTGCTCAACAATAGCTTAGATAAAACAAATAGATGTCAACAAAATTTTAGAACTGGCTCTTTGTGAGCTTTGTGCAGTTTTGCATGCTATTCAGATAAGATGTTTATATTTTGGGCACCCTCAGATAGACTGGGTGTGTTTACGGTAGATTTTGGGGAGATTAAGAGAATACAGGAAGTTGTGGGCTTTGATTAGCCAAAGGCTTTGGTTGGAATATAAAATTTGAAAAATTCTTCTTTCAAAATCTAGTTTTTATGAGAAAATTTCTGGATGTGAAGATTTATCAAAATAATTTTGCACTTCTAGAATTTTAAGTATTTGGATTATGAAGAAAGATGTATAAAACGTTATTTGATTTTATAAAACTTGAGAGATTAATTTGGAAAAGACTTTATATTTTTGGTATAATTTTAATTTTTCATTGTTAACCATGAGCCTCAAAAGGATAGAAAAGACCAAAAGTATGAAATAACTGTGAAGGTTTTAAATTATAACCCATACAGTAAAATTTTTATAACATCCTTAAGGATAAATACTATCGATCAGTTTCTTCATGTATTTTAAAAGTATAAGAAAAACCTACTTTCCTTCAGACTCAAAAATACACATTCCAATTTCAAAATACACCTAACTTAACCAACAATTTCAGCAACTACCCAATCCAGCGACAACTCAGAACCCAATGACCACTCAAAACCCAGCAATCATTCAGAACCCAATGACCACCCAACCCCCAAATCCTCCCTTCCCAGAAATATGTTCCCAAACTTCCCTCTACCAGCCTACTCCCCTCACTCCAAAATTCGCTCAACTCCACCCAGCAGTCACCCCTCACGCTCTCTTCTCGAAGACCTAATCTCTAAAACTGAAACTCGTTCCAGCCCCGAAGAGGTATTCTCTGGTTCTTCTGAAGGTAAGTTGGCTTTTTGACTGGGTTTTGGATTAGCTTGTAGCTTGTTTGAAGGAGGGACTGTTGTGGGCAGGGGAGGAAGTTTGGATTATGTGTGGGAGTTTTGGAAGAAGAATTGGGAATGTGGTTGTATTTGAAGTAGAGGGTTGGCATATTTTAGGAGATGATGGAATTTTAGGAGATGGTATTTTTGAGATATTATTTGTTATCTTATGATTTAGAATAGAATAATTAATGTGAATGAAATTACTCTCTCTACAATAATATCCAATAAACCTTCATCTAACAAATACATTACCAATCCTTCTCCTACAACTCCCAAACCTAATCCCTCTCCTCACCCAACCCATACAACTCTCATTCCACCCCTTAAATCTCCAACCCACCACATCCCTCCCCTACCCTCTCCATCCTTCCACTCTCTAAAACCCCATTCTACTCCCTCCTGAGGCTACTCCAAAATCCTAAATTTGTACTGCACATTTCACTAAAATTTATGTGACAATAGAAGAAATTTGGGGTATTGGAACAGAAGTAGTGGGCTTAATGTGGTTTAGAAGTCAAGGTAGAGGACATAGAAGCAGAGGTGGCACAGGGTATAGATGAGAGAGGTAAGAAGTAGATTTAGGAGAGATATAGGACAGATGGAGCAACAGAGGAGATTTTTGATGGAGGAGATAAAAAAATAAGATGGTTTATGTGGAGAAATGTGATTTTCAGTTTAATGTAAGAATTTTTAATGTGTTTAGTATTGTTTTAAAGATTTTGGTATTTTATGTTTTATAATATTTTTATTTTAACTCTAGATGCCTTATGATTGGACAAATTTGAAAATAAAAGAGTTGCAATCATTAGACCGTATCTTAGAGAAGATACCAGAAGAACTTGATAAAGAGTGTGATGAAGAAGGTACATAATTAATCCACAAAATTCTATATTTCTTGGTTAATCTTAAAATAGAGAACCTCATAATCTTCATAAAAGAAGGCCCTTTCCTCGTCAAAAGTAAGTCCTTAAATCAACCTCCACAGTCTTACACCCAACTTTCAACCCCCAAGTCGAAGACTGGAGGATCAAAGCTACATCCCAAACAAAGATTCCCATCGCAAACCTTGTTTCTATTCCTCATAACTCAACCACCTTTGCGCCTGCACAGATCACTAAAGTATTGAAAGGGCTGCGTACTAGCATTAGCGAAAGTGAGGATAGACCAAACTTCCGGATATAAAATATCCCACCTTCCACACACTTTATCAAATCCCTACACTCCTCCAATCCCTTGCCTCCCAACAAGACCCCAACTCCTCCATTCACTCTCCTATCCCACTAGAACAATCTGTTCCTTACCATTCGATCATCTCCAGCTCCCAGCCATACAATTTCCCCTTAAACTACCTCAAGGAGGAACAAAGAGCTGCCTCTCAAGAACAAATTAAAGAAATTACTGAAAGGAAATATGGGGTTGTGAAGAATTGGCACGGAGAGATTGGAAGGGACCAAGAGGAATGAGTAGATCCCTTTCAAATTATTTTTGAGGGGTTTGACTTTTCAGAGGATTATGAGTGATTTTTGGAGTTGGTGCAGAGGGTGGTGACGCAAGGGATTATGAGAGTTGAGTTTGAGAAGTGTGTGTTTCCGTGTTTTACTGAAGAGAGGGTGGAAGAGGTTGTGTTTGTGACTCCGGGTGAGCAAATGAGGCCGCTTTATGGAATTAGCTTTGTTGGATGTGTTTTTGGGGGAATTTATCAGTAAGTACATAATGAATATGCAAATTTGAAATTTACATAGAGAAGAGAAAAATTATGAATATGACAAAGCTGATCAAATAGGCCTTCTGCTAAATTGTCCAGGTTTACCATCTCCATTAAGAGATCCAAATGTAGAGCTACAAATCGAGGGAGGGATCTCTAGTATTTCTTTCAAGAACAATAAGTTCACTGACATCGAAATGGCAAAACTAAAGGTGTACCTATGCTATGCTGAAAATCTTCTAATTTTTGAAGAAGATAAGAAAGAAAAAGAGGGAGAAGAGGGAGAAGATGAAGAAGTAGAAGAAGATGAAGAAATAGAAGAAGAAAATAAAAAAGCAGCCAAAGAAGAATCAAAAGAATAGCCTTTTAATCTTAATGATTTAGCTTTCAATGATTAGGTCAAGATTTGGGGTTTTGGGGTTTTGGGGTTTTGGGGTTTTGGGG